ATTAAAAATGACTGAGCCGATTATTAGCCCCTCCCTCATGCTTTACTCTCGCCCTGCTCCGTGTGGCAAATCGAGCGCACCTCTCTGCATTTCGAACATACGTCACAACAATGAAGAGGACCCGAGGGAAGCTCGGAAAGCTCAGCAGAAGTTATTTGGAGAGGAGAGTGACTGCTGTTGGTTAAAAAGAGGTAAAAAAAACTTCAGTGGTGTGGAAACATTATGGGTTCAGTCAGACGTGGATCAAGTAGACACAGTGTGTAAACTTTGCTACGGTGTCGTAGCTGCACCACAGAGCAACACTGCAAAGTTCACTAAACATAGATGTTGACATTTTTCATTGATTTCTTATATTGCAAACATTTGCACTGTTATCAGTATTTGCACACTGTTTTATATTATTTTTTAAAGTCATTATTCAACACATTGTTAACCCTTTAAAGCCGGTCAGAGCAGCACGCTCCGTTTTGTGTGACTATTTTTAAATCCCTGTAGAACCTGAACCGTGTAAGCTAGCGCAATAATTTGTTTTGCATATGAAACCAGAGGAGTTGTACTTACATCTTATGTCATCAGCTTGTCCTCGGTCACGGTTTCCTTCCCCATAAAGCTTTGCAAAAATTGCATAAAAGGCGCTTGCAGCAACAAAAACATAATACTCCAGAAACACGCTTTGGCGATCCGATCAGCTGTTCGTAACACTTCCCACATTGACACAGACGTCACCCTAACTATGCATGTCCGCCATTTCCTGCCCGAAACCGGAAGTGACGTCATTTCGCGGAAAATGTAGTTTTTTACTTGTAGGCCTTAAAAGCCTATACTGGTGTTTTTATAAGTCATGTTTGACTTTTCTGAATAGTTTCTGGGATGCTTAAAACTCGAGTTGCACTGCTGGAAATAGTTTATTTTGATGCACCTGCTGTTTTCTTTGCAAATTTGCATCATAGGATTGTTTTTTGTTTTTTCCTGCAGTATATAAAAATTGCTGTATCTCCAAAATAAAACTATGAAGACACTCAAAATAAATTTCCTGTTGTTGTAAACTATTTTTTGCAACTTTTTTGTATTTAAAGTTTTGAGGGATAAGCCTCTTAAATTTCTCCAAGTAGAAATATATGTAAAAAAAACAAAAATGATTTTCAATTTTTTTGTAGTTTATTGCACTTTTTTGCAATTAATGTAATTACTATGGACTTAATGCATACATATTATTAAAATATGGGCTATAACAGTTGTATTGATGTGTAGCAACTTGAAATGCTCCCACAAATGGCACTACAGCATGTAAACATATAATATAAGCTCTGGCGGACTTGGTTCTATGGTAGGTCTTAAAGGGTTAAATAAATATCGTCAAATAATCGAGATCTCAATTTCAGTGAAAATAATTGTGATTATCATTTTTGCCATAATCGAGCAGCCCTAACATAAGTTGTAACGGCCGCCGTTTTCTTTGTGAGTATTTATTACTGCTGCGGGGAAAAGCCTGTTCTAACGTTTGAGTCTAAGGTTTATTTTTTTGCTTCTCATCCGTAAATAATCTGCTCTTTCACGTGATTCAGTTTATTTTGAAAAGTCTCAACAGGATCTTGAGCTTTATTGTGAAAGGTTTATGTGGAACGTAAAGAAGCGGACACGCGATGGTGTTACCGTCGTTGTTGCTAACGACAACCCATAAAAACAGGCGCTTGTCCGTCCGTAGTGTGGTGATATTAAATATAAGAGAAAGAGAGAACTTTAAGAAATGAATATAGCCACTACAGTGACCATCAAAACCATGAAAACATATTGCCGTAAACAGTTTATTTTGCGACACCACGAAACAAACGATAGCGTAAAATGAAACGATAGACGTTTTTATATCGTCATCCGATATATATCGTTATATGAACAGCCCTAATATACCATATTTGTTTATGCAAGCTTATATGTTGATATGTTGATTCTTAAATTATAGCCATGTATTTTAAAATTAGCCAGTCATACCTCGATTTCTTTTTTGTTTCCTACATGTACTGGTGTCTGTGTGGGATGATGTGTGATGTTTTATATCCTTCACTATATGAATGGTGTTTGTAGGTGTCTGTACAGTGTGTGTGTGTGTGTGTGTGTGTGTGTGTGTGTGTGTGTGTGTGTGTGTGTACTTGAGACTGCGACATTTTGTCCATTGGGAATTTTAGGACAAAATATTGCAGGGATGAAAAATGATACACAACCCACGTCACATTTATCTTTCAAAAGCCATCTGTGCACTGTCACTTGTGCATACATCAGCACACATACACACACAGCCTCGGATAAAAGCCCATTCTCAGATACACCTCTCTAGAGAGTAATAGGGTCAGGAGTTCTGGGGTCTAATTGAAAGAGCACATGGTCCTACAATCACATTAAACGTTCAGATCTTCATTAGGGTATCAGTTAAAAGATGTAAGAGCGGATCGCGTTTCCCTGATTCAATCTAACGCATATAGAGAATATTACATTTAAGGAGATCGACTCTCGCCACAAAGAGCAGCCAGTCCCACATCAAATAACTGGGCTTTATCGTGTTTGCTCACCACCAGGAGTTTGTAAAAATTTAACCAACATTTAATAATCTGTCTTTTCATCTCAGTGCACACACTTATTGTTTATTCTCTGTCCTCCTTACACAAAATGAAATTCATCAACCCACTGACCTCATTGGTCTTCTCCTTTCATCTCTCACTCCTCTCCCTCCTTCCTTCCCTACAAACTTTGCTTTCCACCCCGTTTCCCTCCCTTCCTCCACTTGCTAAATTACAGTTATTACAGTGCCAGCCCACCATCCATGTAAATGCAGCTTCAGAGGAGTCAAAGATGCTTTGGTTCTGTTTCTAACGCCTGCTAGGCACCAATTAAAAGGCCAAAACTAGCCCCAAGACAGCAAGAGGCCCTTAAAGACTAGGGCTGGTCCACCACCAGTTCCCATCCCCCTTTTCCACAACCAGATGGTTAAAGGTTTTATAAAGGTTTCATTTGCAAATAACTCTATTCTTGTGACACAATGTATGTTCAAACTCAAACTACTGCCTTGAGCTTGTAGTTCTGTGCCAAGCAGCCAAGTTGTACTTTACAGCTATCTGTAGAGATGCATGCGCTGCAAGAAATGAAGGCATCCAGCATTTAGCTAATGTAGGCTGTCTGTCTGTTGCTTGCCAGGTATCCATGTGTATTTACTCTGGGTGAGTCTAGAGAACGCCGTAAATATTTGTGAAAGGACTCCAATCCAAGTTGATGAGTCAGTGAAGCTCGCTTCTGTTCGATGGCAGCAATACTGAGGTGACTTGTTGACTTTTCTGTTGTTAAGTGTTGCTATTAGCCTCTGATAGCTACTGTTAGCCTCTGTTAGCTGCTGTTAGCCACTCTTAGTGAAATATTCTTGGTGGATCACTGTGACACTCAGAATGTAATCAAAACTGCTTTCACAGGGAAACTGTGATTTTTAGGACACTTAAGACTAATTGACATATTGTTAGCTTACAGCCAGCTGTTATTGTTGTTTAGCCAATATTTAGTCAGCTGTCCAGACAAGGCAAAAATATTGGGAATAAATAAGCATGTTTGTGCACTTTTGTGCATTAGAGCTCTAACTTCAGTTCAGTTAATGAGGCTTGGGGTAAGGAGGAAGAGGTTGAGAGATACCAGTCGCATCTTTGCTTTGCATTTTCATTTCCTTCATATCTTGAGCCTGAAGGTGTAGACACTGATTAGATTTTGCCTCCACAGCACGCCTACAAGTAATCTTCTCCTCTGCCTTTGCTCTACTATCTATGTGGCCAGTCTCAAGCTGCATAAATAAAACATGAGTAAGGAGAACAGCGATCTCCATGTCAGCCACTGTGTTCAAGATGGCGGGTCAGCATGGCGGTTTGCACAAACCAGTACCCACTCCTGTCCATTTTTTATGGATTAACTCTAAGTGTATAAGAAAGGCTCAGATTTATGAATTCAATATTCTTTCTTTTTCCACTAATTAATGACTGACTGTACCTTTACAGGTTTAAGTTATTAATTAATTGACACTGTGCTATATTGTCCCTGAACGTAGACATTACATATAGAAACAGCTGTAATTCACCTAATATATGGCACAGTGTGATGCATATGTAAACCCAGTATAACTATTTCGGACTACACTGTGCATATTTTAACATACATATAATAACTAAAAAGCAGTTGATCTTCTTTCCGTTTAACTGACACCACATCAAAAGGAATGATTCACTAAGCCACTGAAAAAGTCATTTCTCAGAAGCACGTTGACATTCTTGGGCTCAGACTGACCACTACAATGCGTAACTATAGCCGTGCGTACAGAGCAAACCATTACTCAAAAGCCACAGGATCAGGACAGGGATGGGGTCATGCTGGGACTGTGGCTTTTTAGGTCAACGAAATCTGAAAAGAGGAACTGTGAGAGGGAAGAATGGGTTCGAACTCTACAACAGCTCTTGGATGAATATGAAATCAATGTGCATATAATGCTGCCTGGCAGCAAGTTAAGAAGTGCCCCATTTCATCCCATTACTGACCCACATCACCAGTGTCAACATCCTTCATCCTAACATCCTGAGCACATCTCTTCATCCAGGGACTACGGTACTCAGCAGAACCCCAGGCACACAGAAAACTACACCACCTAACTTCAGACATGGCTCCTGACGACTGATGAATTGCAGCGTGACAGACATACATTTGGACAAAGACTGGTTGTCCCTTTCACTGAGTCTATTCAGGTTCTACGATGAGAGCCAAAGGTCAGCCACTGGCTTGTTGTGTCTGACGCCACTTATGACTCTGTCGCAGTAAACGTCTGGCTGCCAGAAAGCACACATCACTCGTACCTGCCAGAAGTGCTCTTGGCATCTTGGTGCCCTAATATTAACGAGGCAGAAAAAACTGGACCAAATTTTGTTTAGCTAAGGGAAGGGAGAAAGGACAGGAGATGTGTGTTACTGCTGTGTGAGTCTAACCTGGTGTCAGGTCATCACAGCAGACTTCTATGGATCCAGATGAGCAGTCACTCAGTTCGTCCACAGAAAATTCACTCACTTGTGCCTGCAGCCTGTCAACACATCACAAACACAGCCATCACACATCTGTTACTGAACATGCAAATCATATCCTTTACAATCAAATGCATAACCTGCTGTGTATGACAGTAGAAGAAGAGAGGCGATGACCATCTCAATTATTTCCACAAAAGCAAATCATATAAACAGAAAAATGCTGAAACAGTTATGTGCAAAGAACTGTGTATAATCCTGTCATTAATAAAGAAAAAAGAAACTTCAAATGTTTTATTAAATGTAGATTTTGTACACTGTGCTTCTAGTAACATAAAAAACTGTGTGCATGGGAGTATACGGTGTCAGCCCAGGGGCTACAAGAAGACACTTTAACAATCAGCTCTGCTCCAGAAAATCTCCAAGTGTGTGTGTTGCAGGAAAAGATACTGAGGCCTCTGTGGCAGGTCTTTAGTGTCCTGAGGATGACTTCTATGTGTAAAGAAAATGATCACATGATAATTACAGGGGGGGTCAGTGGTAAAGGACTCATAATGGAAGGCTTTATAACTCTTGCTTCAGTTGTGCTTGTGTGATGAAAGACCCCTTACCTGTGACTGAAGGGAGCCACAGCAGCCATGTTGACTCTGGGTATGTGTGTCTCTTCAGATGTTGCCTCCCGATCCTGTGTATCAACAACCTGCTTGGATGTTACTGGCATGGTAAATGTGATAGCTGGCAGCGGTAAGGGAAGAGGAGAGGAAGCTGGACTGCTATCCTCAGGAGTTCCCATTTCCTCATCTGATTGGCTGCCAGAGTCACTATGATCTCTGATGGTGTGCTGGTTTGAGTAAAGAAGAGTGGGCCGAATGTTACAGTTGCTGAGTATGACAGATTTGGCTGGATGGTTTTTTGGAGGCTCTTCCTTCCTTCCTGGTATCGCATCAGCCGTTGCTTGGGTTACAATGTTTGAATTGTCTCCTCTGCTAAAACTGAGCGGTGGACGTAGGTTGCCGGCTCCATACGCTTGATTCTTATTTGCAAAGGTGCTTCTGTTGCGATTGCCATCCTGGGGTAATTGGGAGAGGATTTGCGATTTTCCCAGGTCTAGCGTGTCTTTGGAGTGTGGCGGATGTACTCGGCGCTGGGTCAGCGGGCTGCTGTAGGCAGATCTTGACACCTGGGGAATTGGAAGAGCTCCGGTTCGCTGGAAGAGCTGACTTTTAAGGCAGGCATCTCTCAGGGCATCTGTGGAGGAAGGCCCAGGGATACTGGAGTTTCTTGGACAAAGTGACGGGGAGTGTGCAGGTGTGTTCGCTGGCGTGTGCTTAGGGGTCTGTTTCGAGGGCTTGGGCAGGTCACTCGCCCGGCGGCGTGGTTCTGTTTTAGGAGAGGAAGGCAGAAGACTGCGAGGGAGGGGTATTCCTGATGAGGGAGGCCCACGGGGAACTGACTTCACGTTGACCCCCCCACTCATTGTGACCTAAATCAAAAGACATAAAGACAACAAAAAGTTAAAAAGTTAGGTGAGTGCATGTTCACAATAGCATGAGATCATTAAAAGCCTTCCCAAAGGGTTTGGTTATACATTAAGAGTCAGTGTTAAAGTTCTACTAATCTAATCAGGCTGAGAATTTGCTTTTCCTTTCACAGAGCTGTGCAATGTGAGCCAAGTACATATGACAAAATGAGTCATGGTAAACCACGAGGTGAACTTATTTTCAGCGGAGCATGGAGTTTCTAAGAAATCAGATTTGCCTGCTAGGAGTTAAAAACACAAAACCAGCTTTTTACACATGCACACACACACACACACGTGCCAGCTTTTTATACGCTTGTAGATCCTTATGTTCTTGAAAAACAAATACTGAAAATGAACTCCAATACAACATCACACTTACCCCGGCACAATGCATACATATAACAGTTTCAGAGGAGGCACAGGATGTTGCTCACCTTATTTGCTTTGACTGTCCTTGGTTTTCTTACTCTCTTCTGTGTCAGAATGACAGAAACCCTCCAAGAACTACGAAATCCTGCTTGAGCTTTGTGAGCCCGCCTATGCTAATTCTGATCAAGTGAAACGTTTCATATAATTTTGCTGCTTCGTGCTGCTCTGCTGGGAGGGGAAAGGGAGGCAGTGAGTTTGGGAGAAAGGCAGGGAGGGAGGGCAAAAAAGGCGGAAAAAACGTCAAGTGCACGTATAGCTGCTTTTTAACGTAAGTGTCGGCCAACAACATGGCAGGAGCTCAATTCCTCTAATATGTAGACATTCTCAAGACGGCCTGCTGAAGTTAGATAGGTGATTTAAGCGGCTGTAAGTGAATGTGGCGTGACTCTCGGTGCCAGCCGGGCTGGTCTGAGCATTTCAAAACTGCTGCTCAACTAGGACTACGGTTTACAAGAGAATTGTCCAAAAAAGAAAAATATACAGTGAGCAGCAGGAAAAAAAGCTTTGTTAATAGCAGAGGTCATAGAGAGTGCTTTGAGTTGGTAGGAAGGCAACAGTAGCTGAAATAACCACTCGTTACAACTAAGGTAAGCAGAAGAGCATCTTTGAATGTGAGATGCTAGTGAAACCCTGAAGCAGATGGCTACCGCAGCAGAAGACCACACTGGTGGCCACTCCCATCAGCTACATACAGGAACGTGAGGCAACAACTTGCACATACATTCCAAGATTGGAGTATAGAAGATTAAATATATGATGTCTAGTCTGATAAGTCTCTAAGATTCAGATGGTAGAGTCCGAATTTGGCATACTCAGCATGAATCCTTCTGCCTAGTATGAACTGTTCAGGCTGCTGGTGGTGTAATGGAGTGGGGGATATTTTCTTGTTATACTTTGAGCCTCTTAATACCAATTAAGCATCTTTTAAAACCACGGCCTACCTGAGTATTGTAACTGACCACGCTTTAGGACCACAGTGCAGCCACTTCCTGATGCTATCATGTCAACAAGGACCAAAATATCTGACGAATGTTTCCAGCACATTGTTGAATCTATAAGAGGAAGACTGACGATTGTTCTTAAGGCCAAAGGGGGTGCAACTCAATACTAGCACGGTTTACCTAATAAAATGTCCAGTGAGTGCATATATTGAAATGTTCAAATTCACTCTAGATTCTCTTCCTGGTTGCACTTAAAAAATGGTCTGAGTGTGTGTATTATAATTACACACACACACACACAAACGCAGACATACTTAGAAATATACTAGAGATTTAATGCTTAACCCTACTTGCCCCGTCTTAAAAAAGCAAAACTTTTGCTGCCAGAAGACTTTGTGGGAAGCTGTCTTTAGTGAAGCACTGATGTATCAAATTAAGCCGTCAAAGTCACAAGGATAAAGTGCTGGATTATTTGACAGTGCATCTAATCACAGCATTGCACACAGTGTCATGTGGATCACTCAGACACACATTTCCAGCAGTCTGAGAAAAGCAGGAGAAAGAGTGACTGCTTGAGCTTGAAACTCCGATGAAGAAAAAGGACGGATTCTCTGCAGGAGGCCTTCCTTCCACCTACTTATAGAATCAGACATACTAAGACAAGCAACTAAGAGCTGTGCAGCATTTTGATTGATGCTAATGTAGGCCTGCGCAGCAGCGTACAGCTGCAGTGATGCAGCAGTAGGTAAACAGAGACAGATGTGATCATCCATCCTCCTTTTCCCCTATTACTCCCTACAAATTCCTCCCCCTCCTCATTGTCTGTTTCTGTATGTCTTCCTCACACACTCCATCTCTTGGGAGGTCCAGACAGAAAATGAGCATCAGAATTTCTTTCTGTCTGCTGTAGGTCCTGCTAGGATTTCCAGGAGCACAGGTGTGGGCTGACTCGATGTCTATCTGTATGAAAATTTGATTTTCCCTTGGGGATATGCCGGGGTCACACCAACACTTCTGCAGGCTGTATAAGAACATACAGGGGCTCAGCTGCTGATGGTGATGTGTGTGTGTCTGTGTGTGTGTGTGTATTCATATCTTTGTGGGGACTTAAAAAGGGGAAGTTTACTATACTTATGAGGACCAAAATCCTGGTCCCTACAAGTTTGAAGGCATTTTTCCACAGTCAAAATGTGGTTTAGTGTCAGGGTTACAATAAGGTTATGGTTAGATTTAGAGTAAGGTTTAGGCATTCATTTTTCAGGGTTAGGTTTATTGGGCGGGGCTAGGGAAAGCAGGCTGTGTGTGTGTGTGTGTGTGTGTGTGTGTGTGTGTGTGTGTGTGTGTGTGTGTGTGTGTGTGTGTGTGTGTGTGTGTGTGTGTAAAAGAAGGAAATACAAATAAGGTGACTGAAACCAACAGGTGTAAGTTATGGGAAAATAATCTAGTTTAGTTTGATTTCTTTCAGTTATGTTATTATAGGATAGTTTGCAGTACAAACGTCTTACATGTGTTGGATACATTGTATTTGTCGTGTGTTCAGACTTACAGGCTTCAAAGTTTGTTCTGTATCATCCTGTCACATAAAAAACTTTACAATACACCGTCTGTTGGCTCCTTTCACTGCACGTCTAACTCCATGTGATGTCTGTGTCTAAAGGAATGAGTTTGGTCTAAGAAGCGTTTTTATTTTTACTGTTTGAGGCACGTGCAAACGCAAAAACATGAAGCCATGTTTATATTGCTGCTCATTAGTTTGACAGTTAGCGCTTCATTAGCATCAGAATCAGCTTCATTGTACATATTTGTAAAGCTTCACCTTAGTTTAATATTTCATAGTATTTGCAAACAGCACTTTAATAGCTAAAAACATAATTACATATCTTATTGTGTGACAAAATAGTTGAACAATCAATCACTTTTGATTTGAATTTAAATCATAAATCAATCTGCCATCACTATCAGTCACTGTGTCTTTAGTTCTGCAGACCCGGGCCTCGGGGCTGACATCATGATTTAGCTTTCATACTTAAACCAGCTGAAATAAATAAAACCCTTTTCCCTGAGGTTTTGAAGGACATCATCGTGTTTGTACACTGACGCAAACACAGCACAGAAGCCTACAGAGAAACTGGGGTTTTGCTACAGATCAGTGTAGTTATTGTGTGGGTTACTGCATGGACCGACTACGGTCTCTCCTTCACTCTGCTAGGGTGGTGCTGACATCTACTGGGTACTGTCTGCAACTGCAGGAGCACAGCGTCTCATTCATTTCAGTTCCGTATTATCATTAATTATAGCTGCGAGGTGAATTATGCAGGCTTATTAATAGCATCTTTTACACTTATCAGAAACATCAGCCATATCAGGTTTATCTCCTGAAGGACAGAAGAACAAGGATAGCGTTGCAGCCAGCATTATGCTACATGTTAACAGTGTAATTTAATAACATTACACTGATTTCGCTCAGCTTTCCCATGGCGGCCTGTGGCTGACCTGAGTTACTCTATATCTTATGAGAAAAGCGTGTATATCCTCTCTCACAGACATGCACACTCACCCTCGTGATGAACACCCTCTGACTCATCACAAAATCAATACATGAGTTGGTAACACAGGCCTCTCTGTCTGTGAAGGGCATCAGCAGTGCCTGTGTGTCACACAGGCTGGAAACTACAGTACATTGAATTAATCACCTCCACTATGACAGCAGCCAGAACAACAGCAGTAAAGTCCTGCCGTGGAGCAGAGAAGCTAGTGACACCCAGTGGTACAACAAATTCCTGGGAAGGCAGTTTTCTTAAAAGAAAGTCATCATAAGATAAACGTGGCAATATTTTTAGCTCAAAAAGAACATACGAGTCAATTTCAAGGCTCTGCTGTGTCGCACGAAAGTCTTACCTGTCAGTGCGCCGTTGGGCTAAGCAGACGGAGCCGGCCAGAAGCAGGTCACACTTCTCTGACGTCCCAGGAACAATGGGCTGTTTTTTCCTGGATCACAGTTGCATCCTCACCACTGCTTTCCCATTGGTTCACAGCTCCTCACCAAGACAGGAAGCTTGAACAAACAGGAATGACACATTCAGCCAATCAGGGGCCTCTCTTTCGAGGTGACTCATTTTCAAAGTGACTTTCTTTGATTCTAACCTTTCGCCAAAAGGAAAAAAAAAGTCATTTGGCACATAGATTCAAAGAACACAGTCACGTATCTGCGACCTCAGAGGGCATTACACTAACCTAGATTCATTTTCTGGAGGCTTACTCTAAACAGCAAGCTCTCGTTGTAAAGTATCGTGTTTGACACTCTGGGGAACAGCTTTCGTCCCCATTATAAAACAAAAGAAACACACCATCATTATGTGACGGCGTAAACAGGGTTAAGCTCACACACTGTGAGTACTACCTGGACCACACGCACATACACACAAGAACTGAAGAGTGTTTATGTTATCATGACTCATTTGACCAAAATGGAAATGTATTTGGCATGAAGTTACCCAAAATGACACATAATGTGTCACCATCAGAAATCCCACAACACAGCACAAAGTCATCTCCGAACCTCGAGTCTCCAAATTGCACTGGGACAGTAAAGTAAATGAGCCTCGCCTGGTGTGATAAAATGGGTTGTGTGAGTATTTAATGTACTGAGGATAGCTGCTGTACTCCTTTAAATAAAAAAAGATCTTTGTCTAACACGTCCTCTGCACATGCTCTTATTATAGAAGCCAGGGTACAAACACACGCACCCACAAAGTAAACAGGAGAAAATATAACCCGACTGCTGGCAATATAAATATCACCATGGGAGCAGCAGTTTGCCTCCATTCTTCTCAATATCAACCAAATGTACCACACGCTACAATATGTATACCACACATGCTTTACTGAGTCATACATCCAAGCTGCTGACTCAGGTCAACTGCCAATCATTTCATCCTGTAGATACTGCTGCTCTTTCTTTTCGTCTTCACTGGCCCATCTTTTCTCTCTTATTTTTCTAACTGTCACAGCACCATGAACATAGTCCTCGTATTAGAGTTTAGTAACTCTGCGCTTTTAGAATCAACAGGAAATATATTCAACAAGAGACACAGATTCATCAGGAAACAAGACAAAAATGTACTTAGAATTAGAGAAGGATCTGAAATATTAACTAGCTAAAGTAAACACGAGCCTTCACTCACCTGCCTCAGTCTCCAGTTGGAGTCGGATCTGTATGCTGCAGAGCGTGGCTGGCTCAATCCCTGCCTCAGCTCCTTTCTACTTTTTCTGGCTGGCCTCTGAGCTGCAAGCATGTGTGTGTGTGTGTTTGTGTGTCCGTCATTCTACTCCCCTATCACGTCATGCCGCTCTGCTGCTGCCGCAGTACGCCTGTAGCCGTATCCCCACCTCCTTCTTTTTTCCTCCCCTCATCCCGGTCTCTCTCCCCCTGTCTGTCTATGATGCTCTCTCTCAATAATGGACCTGTTGGCTTCGTTCCCTCCCTCCCTCTCCCTGAGTGAAATATAAGCCCAGCTAGCAAAGACCCGGCTGGTCCATTAGCTGGATGAGTGCGGTTTGTGTGTCTGTGCGAGCGCAATCACGGCTGCCTCTATAGTGTGAGTAATACATGGTAATTAAGCAGATGTAGCCACAAATGTGAGAAGCCTAAACCCATCATCTGGCTTTCTAGACCTAATTGGTGGTCATGGAAATCAGGATGACAGGAAAAAAAAAAGTGCCACCTTAATGACAGATTTTCTGACGACAAATGAGAATGTGCACGTCACTATAAACACACATAATCACACAAACGGGCACACACATAGACACACATCCGCCCTCTGTATCTGTTTATATATCAGTGTGCATGCCTGAATGAACCAGCATCGTGAAGGAGGGCAGCTCATCCATCACTCCTCTAATTTGTCCCACGCTTCTAATGAAAAGAGGGGAGGCGAGACAGAGTGAGAGATAAGTGATGCAAACGAAGGCGAGGAAAGAAGAGCAGGAGGTGGTGTGATGGAGAAAGAAGCATGTGCAGAGTAAACCCTTTCCTCGCATCTTTTCCCAGGTGACATACTCGGAGTAACATTACAAAAACATCCCAGATACCTGACCTTGAGCTTGTCTTCCAAACTTTTCAATACTCAAACTATGAGGACTATAAAGATCTCATCAGACATTAGGAGGTCTACTTGAATTAAACAATCACATCAACAGAGAGACAAATGCGGTTAAATCACTGCTGTTTTATGTCATTTTACTGCTGGGCAACATCTCTCTGGTCATCTTTACAATTTATTCACAAACTCTTATGAATTTATCAAAAAAAGCACTTCTTATTGTGATAATTCTACGTTTGTTACCTTTTGTAATCATCGGCCACATTTGTGCCTCTCTCTGCATCTCTGCTCATATTTCTGCTGTGCTTGCCAAGAGTTCGAGCCACTATTATAAGAGCCAGTGCTGCATATTTAATGAAGACTGTGACATGCAACAAATTCAGAATCCCATCCTTCCCTTTTACAAAGTAGCTTATGGATCAGCTTCAGTTATTGGTTACGTCTTAAGAGTTTCTAAGTATGGGTGAGACTTTGGGGTCTGTTAGGTTGTTTATAGTCTTGTTTTGGCAGGAAAATACAACCTGAGCCTTCTATGGCTGATCACATATTGATCAAGAATTGGCTCTGCATGCTGAGAGATGCATAAACAATGAAAACCAAGCACAATAACTGGATGTTTGCTATTAGAACACATGCATACTGCACACATCCCCCCTCCCTCCTACTACAGGCACATACTACAGCATTCCCTTCATGCTTTCGACCACAATCACTTTACTGCTGACCTCCAAATACTCACTTTAATGCCACGGTTGCTCCTTTGCTTTCCAGCTACAGAGAGAAAAGATTAAAGTGTGCGAAACTTCTCCAACAAAGTCAGCCAAAAGCAGAAAGAAACAAACACATGATCTGTTGCTTTGTCTCATCGTGAAACGGGAAGTGACTTGTGACTGAGGATTATGGGTAGGAGTGTGCAGCCATCTGCATTGATGCATGTGTGCGTGCATATGTGTGTGTGTGTGATGGGTGTTTGGGTGGGGGTTAATGTCACGGCTAATCTTCTGACGTTCCCCAAGGCATGTATCCCCCCCCCCGAGAGACAGACCCTGACAGACGCTGTTATGACAATGAGACACTTGTGTCACTGTCACCCTGAGGGGCATACGGTGGGGTGGAAGGGGGGCCCCGCTCTAACATGTTGACCCCGTGCTGTCTGGAACACGGAGCCTCAGATGGGCAGCTTGACCGAGACAAATGAAATTAAGAAAAACAAAAGAAGGAAGGAAGCACAAACAAAAAACAGAGCTATTGCAGCTGAGGGGAAGTTCATAGTTCTCTGTGAAAGTGTACACAGCATCTAATTAGAACAGTGCTTCAGCATCTGAGCTTGTTCCTACTGGATTTATGACTCTGCTTTGTCTGAATGTATGATTGCCACTAGATGGTGGCAGAGTATCATCTTCATATTACAGTATGTTAGTTTGAGACCAGCAAGTTCAAGCAAAGTCTAACCGGTGGAAAAGCTGTAAATCACAACGCCAGAAGGTTTAGTGAAGGTACAGAATCAAGGCAGACCTGCTAATATTATGTTTTATTGTTAAATATGGTAATAAATATGACATGCATTACCTATATTTTATTATTATTTATTTAATGTCTCAAGAAAAAATAAGAAGCTCTGAAATACTTAAATAAAAAAGGAGGTGCTGTAAAAATGAAAGCTAAATCATTACACTGATCACTGCAGTTACACAGTCTGCATATAAAAACTGGGCTTTCCCTCTGGGTCTACAAAATGAAACCAAGAATGAAGTGCCTAAAACCTTTCTAATATCCAACCACTTTTTTGGTTTTACACTAAATCTGTACGAGAAAGTTTCTACTGATCACTCGATCTGTGATCTCACTGAACAAATTCGGCACGTTATAGCTTTTGTCTCCATGTTATTCTTCCCCTTACAATATAAGGAACCTTGAAGTGACTGAGGCTGCACAACACAACAAACAAGAAGGCTGTTCTTTCACTACATGACAGACAACGATCAGTGGATGTTGCAACATTACTGCAACCTTCAAAGTCTTAGGTTAGATACAACAACATCATGCACACACTTTCCAGAAGTCACAGCTCTGCAGATCGCTGAATACTGTTGGGTTCATCTTGAAGGCGTTAGCTGTTTGTGTCAGGGTAAACTTAGCATAAGGGACAATACAGACAGCAGTTGTCCTTATTTGTATTACATGTTAATGACCAAACGATGAAGCAAATAATAAATGACATATAGAAAACTGCAGAATGCTGCTCATGTGGTGATGCGAGGCTGCCCTGAAGTCAGTGGCACTATGAAAACGTGAGCACTGACTCGGCACACAACAAGACAATAATGAATCTGTCACTTGATGTCCTGAACTGCAATTAGTCTCATTTATTCTATGCATGCTGCACGAGCTAATCCCATTTCACTTCAGCTTGATGGAAAAGGGGAACTGAAAGAATCTGACTGCATTCATCAACACTGCCTGTCATTGAATCTGCCAGCACCAAATGCCACCAACAGAAAACGGCTCATTAAAGGGCTCCTCTTGCACACTTTAATGTCAAGTGGCTTCCACTGAGCTTTGCTTCTTTCTGCAAATTAGTACACTCTCACTTTAGGCCATGTATAATCTCAGCACATAATTAAGAGGGAATGCCCACATCATTATTATTATTATTATTATTATTATTAATCTGCTCAGGTGAAAGCTGAGGAAGAGGTAATGTAATTGGAGCAGTTTGTTTGTCTCTCTGTGAAAAACGGGCAAAAAAGAAGCCATTAAAATAGCATGAAGATCTACGTCAGTCACTTCTAAACTCCAAGCGATGCTGTGACTGTCTTAAAGGGCAGCTTTTCACACCTGCAGCCCTCAAAAATCCCTCTACACATATGAATAAGAAAAATACTATTAGGTTTGTCAGCCGTGGTACTCTAAAACACTTGGTTGTACTACTTAACTTTTATTAAATGAACTCAAACACTTTATTGCAACAATGACAACATCACAGGCACCGTGCCACCCGGGCATTGAAGGGTATCATATAAACAAGCCGATTAGTTTTGAAAAAGCCTTGAAAACTTTCTCCTTTTCTTTTTATTCCCAGAAAATGACAGCACAAGTTACCCAGTAAATTTCCAAAAAGCATCTAACATTAAAATCAGGAATGCATCCTGCTGATATTACCCATCTTAACCACATGATGGCAGTAGCGTGAAGTCAGGTTAAAGCTGGATGCTTCATATACACATTTTCACATCTGTTTCTGTTGTTTCTCATCCATTAAGCATATCAGGGTGACCTTTTGCTGCTCGTGCCTAAAGGTCATTAAATGCTCTGGTAATAAAATAGAATCACTCTGAAATTACATCACGCTGAGAGCTGAACTCAAACTGATTAGCTGTTAAAGGTTAACCTGTGAGCAGGTAGTAGAACAGAGTAAGAAGTCTACTGATTGTGAAGCTTGTTAAGATGAGATGTCACAAAAACACGAAGACACAAATATTTTAGAAATCTGTCAAAAACGAAGCTAAAACGTACATTTTTATTTATGAGGCAAATGACAAAACGAATTCATGGTTTTATGCTCAAATCTGAGCATAAATCTGAGCCAGCTAACTGCATTTCTCAGCAAAGTCAGAAATTTGACAAGCATAACATTCAACCAATAAAACTAAATCTTTTCTGTTCAGAAATACACGTAAATAACTGTAACTTAACATCTCAATAATAATAATACTGTTAATTTAGGGCAGCTGTGGGGTAAACCTGACATTGGGTGCTGGTCTAATAAAAATGCTAAGCACCGTATTAAAACATTAACAATAATCGAATAAGCGAATTCTCTGTGCATTTATTTCAAAGGTCACTTTTACACATTCTTATTACAACTTAAAGAAATCTAGGAAAGCCCTGTGTTCTGTCTGCATTTCAAGAAAAAATATCCTCCCTGATCACAGTTTGGAACACTAATGTTTATGCATGATGAAAGTCTTTCAGCAATGTGAAGTTCATGTAGTTTAGTATCACGGTTCAGTGTTTGTTGGCGGCTGTCTGACAAATTGAAGGGCAGCCCTTGTGCAAGAGAGTTGCAAAACACGGAGTGCAATCAACAAGAAAATCTCTCGGCTGTGCGAGCCAGCACACAGCTTTTGAAGCCCGGCTCACTCCTGTTCAACCCCACCTCTCGCTCTCACTGCGTCTGCTCTCACTTGGAGAGTAAGCTCCCCTGATCCTCCACACAGACTAAGTTTACAGGCTGAAGCAGCAACAGCAGAAGCTCCTCCCTTTCGACACATCTGGAACAGTGTTAAAGCGGAGAGGAGCGCACCAACACTCTCCTGAAGGATAGCAACACAGTAAAAGTTGTTCAAATCAGGTTTTTAAGAGGACTGACCTTTTTATTTTTCTTGCATACTTAAAGTTAACTGTGGACAGCTGGTTTCCTGAACATACCACACAGCTCCATTTACGCTACTCTGACCTGTGAAAGATCTTCCTGCCCATCATCCCTCACTGACAGCTTCTACTTGCTGCAAGTAAGTAAAGATTTTTTATTTTGAGTTCTGATGGATTCTGTTTGCTTCTGTCTAATTTCTTATTTTGTTGATGCATGATGGGAAAGACACTTGCAACACTTATGATACCACAATACCACAGGGTGCCTTTATGTTTCCGTTACAGCAAAGTGTTTCAGAGTGAGCAGCTAAACATTAACGCAAGAGAGGAATAGTAATGCACAATAAAGAAAATACAGCACAGCAAGTTCCTACTAACTTTCACCAACATTACGCTCTGCCTGAATCACACAGATATCACATGCTGTCACATTAAATTTGTTAGTGGACTTCCTGATTTGTAGGAGTTTCCAGTCCTTACTGCTCCTTCCCTAAAGCATTCTCATATCTGCGTGTCCTTGCAGGTCTAAACATGCAAAGCCACCACAATCAGCATGAGCTCGAATTCGTCCTGATGGAAATAATTTAGCACATACACAGAATATTTATGTAACGTATATGTAAGGAAAACTAATGTCTCCAGTAACCTTTTCATCCATCAAGTGACAATTCTCCCACTTCTCTATGAATTTCCCCTCCTGTGGTCAAACTGACTGTCAACTCAGTCCCATTCTATCAGTGAACAAGCATCAACAACAGCACCACACAAAGTTAAGCAATTACTGATAGCCTTGATTATCCACGAGCATTTTCCTCACCTTCTCATCTACATACTCGGTCCTGAAGCTGGGAGCCGGGCTCATTGCTAACAACAAAAGCTTTTAACCACTGATGCTGATTGTCACCCTTCCAAAATGACATGGAAGACTGAGACATTTATTTGAGATTTCAAGTCATAGTTTCCAAAGTCGGCAGCTGGAAAACTCTAAAATGTTTCCATCACTGCTTGGTCCAAAAACATTCCCGGCATTTCTGCTTTAAGTGGGATTGAGGAATGTTCCAAGACTGTAAAACTACGCAAACTGCCATCCTTTATGAGCGGATACTGAAAATGCCAGCTAGTCTCCATCTTCCTCATATAAACATTTACGATGCAGACCTCTCACTTTCTTCTGAGCTATGCATCCAAAACTCTCATTCACCACTGCTTCCCTAAACTTTACAGTTTAGACTTCCGTGGCTGTGCCTGTGGTCTCTTTGTGAGTTGTAACTGTGACTTTTTCAATTTCTATACAAGACAATATGACTGAGCTTCAACTTAAAGCTGCAAAGCAAAGCCATTTATCAGTGATTATCAAGCAACACAGCCCTGTTTTTATAATTATTTTCATTGATAGTAGCACTTTTAAATTCTACATGAAAGATGTAGGGTGCAGAATAATTTAACACACAAGAAGCCATGTGACTGTACATGATATGTATAAATAACTCGTATAATTTATAAACTGGAATAAGAGTTTTCTAAAGGCTCAGCTACATCCAAGAAAACTGCATTAGTTCCCTTAACAGAAACTGCGTTTACAGTGACAAAAAAGGCAGCGTATGATTCTGTATCATAGTGAAATGAGCTCATATTCACAGTAAGTATAAGTACTAAGTTATTTTTAACATTTTTAAATAGAGTCAGAGGCCATGTGGTACCGCCTGTTATTTCTGAGTGAGTCATACTGTATATTGTGCCCAGAAGTCTTAGGTAATCTAAGTTAGAAAAAACAAGCTAACCTTGATGGAGTTGTCAATTTTTTTGACATATTTTGAGCCGTATAAAACACAACTGCAGGTATTAGGTGCTGTGTGGTTACGGGCTGAAGCTGTAGATGATAAATGTGAGACATGACCATGAAAAAGGGGGAGGAGGGTTTACACGGTCAGGAATGTGGAAGTAGATATGCAAGAATGGACAGGGAGGGTTGTGCTAATAGCACATTGGACAGAAACAGACTGGATGGCAGGGTTTTCACATGCCATCGACTTTAACATTCCTCAGAAAATCATGCTTACGCATAACTTCCACAATGACTGCTTCTATTTTTTTAAGAAAGAGACCTTTCGTTTTTGGCCCTTTTACAGAAAAGAACTCTTCTAGAATTTTCCACTGCAGTTCTGGCTTGATTGTCCGTTACAGAAACCACAAAGAACTGGCAGGAACATAATTACTAGCCTAGCCTTACAAAGCCAGATGTACAGGCAACCAAATAAGGCTGTTTAAATAGGTTTCCTAAAACAATAACTGTTTGCGTTTCCATGATGGTTCTATTTAACAGTCCACTGATTCATCTGTTTTTCTATTCAGGGCCCTTTCCACTCATTAATTAAAGCACCTTTAAGGTCCTTTTGGTGCATTTCCAGCTGTTTCTACCGTCTGTTTTACCAAAAGCTTCATTTCATATCAAAATATGTCTGTTTTTCTGTCTGTGTAACATGGATCACTAAAGGATGCCTTTGGGAGGAGGAAACAAGTGTGGCCGCTGTTCAAAGACGGTTTACTTTGCAGAAGAGGTTCTCTGTGACGGGCGGAGCTTCCATAGATCCTGCTTCCTGTGCAGTGAGTTAACCGATTGCTGTTTCCTGTGATTGTGGAGCCCAGTGAACTTTTGGCACGTATTACAGGCACATGTAATATTAACCTAATGTGTATGAGCCGTCTGTATGTGCAGACAAAGACAAATTGCTGTATAAGTCTGGCTGAGCTATATTTGAACTACATCTTGGTCTATTAATTTTTGTGTGTGTGTCTCCTAGAAACTGAGCCTTAAGCTGATCAGTTCCCCTTTCGCTCTAACTTCCTGTCAGAGTCTATTCAGATGAGCTGCAGAGAGAAAAAATATCAACACATTTCAGGATTAGCCAGTTTCATATAAAAGTCTTGTATCTTTATAAAATCCAGTTATTTACATTGATGTGTTAGCACTACAAAACCTTTTTATCTTCCAAGGAGTCGCACGAGCAAAAAGTCTACTAACCTAGAGGAGTCCTGTGTCTTTATAAAATGTGATTAAAACAGTCTGCAACTAGGCCGATGAAAAAACCAAAAGGACGCCGGTGTATTTCTGGCCTCTATCGACTTCTAGATTGGTTTCCTGCTTTTTGTAAACCTCTGGGACCATTCCTGTTATCGCTGCGTCACTCCCTGGAAGTCCACTTCAAAAACTAGGAAGAAATAGCAGCACATTTCAGGTTGTTTATGCTGAATGTTCTCCTTAATATGCATCAGGATGGTAGAACTACCAGCGATGAATTTAAGGTGGAGAACCCAGTAAACCCCGGGCGCCATCTTGGTTCAGGTTGCGCTCCTAGTGGTGCTCCTGTTTTTGGCTTTTTCTGGCTTGGACACTGATGGCTCTCACACTGAAGACCACTGTTTAGTGTCTATTTGAGCTTTCTTTTAGTTGTTCTTCTTCTTTTGGCTTTTCTCTTTAGGTGTTGCCATAGCCAATCATCTGCCTCCACCTCTCCTGAACTCTTGCAAACCCTATCCTAGTCAAAAGTACTATAGTTACTGGCCTTGCACCGATAGCAGTTGTTAACCCAGAAAATATAATTCTTGACAATCTGCATATTTCATCTGCCAACGATTTTATACCAAATACCCATCCTGACGCATGCATCCCCATCTGTCCGAGCTTGGGCTCAGAACTAAGAGTACACTGACTTGCTGGGTTTGTCTTCACCAGTTATGATCCCCAACATGTAGTTTAGGTCAGCTTGGGTCAACAAGTTGATGTTTGTTGAGCTGTCTGGTAAAACTGCAAATATGCATCTGCGAGTAATGGAAACAGGATTTCCTGGAAGTGATACAATCTAGCAGGATTGCTAAAATGCTCACAGCAATTCAAAAAGGAAACATCAGACAAAACATTTTGACCACTCCACATACAAGTATTCATCTCTTGTGTACTGTAAATCTTTCATAATGATAAATTAGATATCTTGAAAGAAATGTGGGTTCATGGGGTTTGGAGGAGTTATTTGTGTTCTCGCATCACAATCAAACATTCCTGTGATGGAATTTAGATGAGAACATGTTCCTTCAAACAAAATGTTCCTTATAAGGCAAACAGTTGGGAGCCTTTATAAACACATGAACGTACTCAACGAAAAGTGCAAAGATATGCAAAACAATAATAACGTGTCTCTTTGTACAGTGGTGTGTGGGAAGAATTTGGACAGCACAACTGTTGCTGTTCATATGGATGAAGTCTACTGCAAGGCATGCTATGGTAAGAAATATGGGCCAAAAGGCTATGGTTATGGCCAAGGAGCAGGAACCCTCAGCATGGACAAAGGAGAGTCCCTGGGAATTAAACCTGAAGAGTGAGTAACACACAGGCAAGCATACTTTTTGATGGTTTTAAGGCTCCTTATCCACATTTTGTTGCCTTCTTTACCCATCAGACCCGGTCCCCATCGTCCTACCACCAACCCAAACCCCTCCAAGCTAGCTCAGAAGTTTGGAGGATCAGACAAATGCCCTCGCTGTGGCAAGTCTGTCTACGCTGCTGAGAAAGTGATGGGAGCTGGGAGTGTAAGCAAAACACAAGCATATATGCGCGCATGCAAGAAAAACACAACTGCTTTAAAACGAGGCTTGTATATGTTTACAGGCATGGCATAAGTCTGGATGTTTTACATGCGCCACTTGTGGGAAGAGCCTTGAATCAACCACACTAGCTGATAAGGAAGGGGAAATCTACTGCAAAGGTAAAACTCTCTCTTTCAAAGACTTCTATAGAACCAGACAACAGCACTTACTGCCACCTGCTGGCCTTTAAAAAGAATGCAGGTGTAACATACCTCCACATTGGGTCCAAACTTCAAACATTTCCCATGGGTCAATGACTGTCACAATTAAGATGTGTTTCCATGGGCGCAAAGCTAGGAAAGCTAACCCATTCAGGCCCAGGAAGGATCTGAAACAGATAATATAGGTGATAGGAACACTAAATATATATAACTTGGGCTGAAAGAAAAAAAAGTCTTTATAAATGAGGCTTGTGGTTAAAAACGAACTCCTTTTTTATAAGAATGGCCAAATGAGTTGTAATAAACCCTAGAATACAACAGAGGGTGCAGTTACTCAGAAAAATAGAAGTTTTATGATTTCAGTTGAACTCTAAACCTGGGATTCAAAGTTCATGCCTGCAACAAGTTAAACAATGACTCCGAAAGGTTCTCTTCATCAAAATCTGTAAGCCTATTATAAATTAATTACACAAACTATGCACTGTATAGCTATCAAGCTATGTGCTAAATGAAAAAATAACTTTATCTATTACTTTATGACTCATTTCAATAAATACCAGCAAACACTCACCAGCCACTTTATTAGGTACACGTTGCTAGTAATGGCTTGAACCAATTTTGCCTTGAAAACTGCCTGAATTCTTCACATCACCGATTAGACGAGGTGCTGGAAAGAGATTTTGGTCCACGCTGACATGACAGCATCACGCAGTCGCTGCAGATTTGTCCGCTGCACATCCATGACACAGATCTCCGGTTTTACCACATCCCTAAAGTGCTCTATTTTTGTAGGGTCTTTAACTATAGTAAGAAGGGCTTTGAGGTAACTGTTTTTGTGATAATGTGCTACATAAACAAAATGAACTGAACTTAATTATTAGATTGGGATGTGGTGAATGTAAAGACCCTTTGAGTGAATTCACTGTCATGTCCAGGAAACCACTTTGAGATGATCTGGTGAATTACTCTGCTGAAAGAAGCCATCTGAAGACAAGCAGTAGCACTTGGGTAGGCTGTTTGTGTTTAATCAGTGCTCAAGCTGTACTAATGGGCCCAAAGTGATTCAAGAAACTACCTCTTACACAACTACACCATCAGCAGTCTAAACTGTTGATAAAAGGCAGGATGTACACCAAATTCTGACCCTGCCATGCCATCCAAACGTTGTAGCAGAAATTAAGGATAGACATGTTTTCAATTTTCTATCATCCAATTTTGAATGTTTGCACATAGTAGCCTCAGTGTCACAGTCTCGCTGAGGCAGACTGTATGTGTTGTGAAGAGTGGACCCAAAATGCAGACATGAATGAACTTGGAACAAAACTTGAATATTAACAAAAGGCGAGCCGTTTAATAAGGCTGACAAAAAGACACAACAATGAGCAAAGACAAACTAAACATTAACCTAAACAGGTGAACTAAAATACAACATGAAAAACCCTGATAGTAACAGACCTGGAAACACGGTGAAACAACAGATGACCTGACAAAGACTGAGTGAGAGAACACGGACTAAATACACACAGGAGGCTAATGAGGGAAGTGGGAACACAGGGGGAAACAGCTGACACACAGGAACATAACAACATCACAGGGGAAACATAAAGCTGAATACACTGAACGCAGGAACACGGGACCTCTTCAAAATAAAACAGGAAACATAATGAAACGCAGACGTGACAACGTGAACTTGACAACAAAGGACATGAAACATATAAAGGACAAGAGAGACTTAACACAGGGGTTGAAAACACAAGGGGAAACTAATAAACAAGTGAACTTAGAAAACCCAATGAACTTAAACATGAATCATAAACATCAAAATAAAGTAAAACTCAAAACGTTGGGTCAAAAAGACCCAGGATCCCGACACTCAGTGCCGTTATTAGCTGACAAAGGAGACAGAGGTCAGTCAGAGAAAGATGTCCTTGGTTGTAACAAGTAGTTATTTGAGTTATTATTGCCTGGCTATCCGCTTGAAACAGTCTGGCCATTCTCCTCGGACATCTGGCATCAAGAAGGCATTTTCTTCCAGATACATGCCACCCACTAGATATTTTCTCTTTTTCAGAGCATCCTCTGTAAACCCTGGAGATCGCTGTGTGAAAATCCCAGTAGATCAGCAGTTTCTGAAATTCCCCATAGTAATTCTACAGGTCATCTTGATCACATCTGCATGCTTAAATGCACAGACTTGCTGCCATGTGATTGGCTTATTGGACATTTGCATTAACGACCAGTTAAACATGTGTACCTAATAAAGTGGCCGGCAAGTGTATAATCCAACAATGTTGTTAACACAACATCACAGGCTCATATTCGTTTTTATTATTTTGTCACAATACCTTGTAGGTGTGTACTGTAAATTGAACCCACTGGTGATGAATAGCGGAGCTTATCAATGCTCCCAGGGTCCAACACCTTTCAGCTCAATATTCTGTTATATGGGCACATTAACCCCTTTATTGTGTCTGGGACAACCCAGCCCCATGTATAGGCACATACAGAGAAACACGTTTTTCAGGTACTCAGTATGGGCTATGTAGCTGAGGAATATGAGACCCAGCAAACAAAGTTCAGAATTAAACTGCTGAATTAAAGTGTTTACTCATTCCTGCAATCTAACAGCCGCAAAGGTGTAAATCTAACGCTGGTATCATGTTTCAGGGCCGAAACACGCCACAGAATCTGCACTTGAGCGGTAACACTGAGCATTTAGAGGCGCACAAATGAAATAGTCTGTATATAGAAGAACCAGCATGGGAGCTGTGGTGCAATATATTCTTTAGTTTGCTCATATGTAAAATTTATTTGTTAAGGCCGTTGCTAAGTGGTGCACACCAGCTTGAGCTAATGCTAACTCAATCTGTGAGTCTGTAGATCCAGAAGACAGCATGGCCTAAAAAACACATTTGAGGGGGAAGTCAAAAGTCCTTCTACCAACAATCCTGAAGAAACTTTGGTCCCTGTGAGGAATTCAATCGAGGAATATCATGTTTGCCAGATGGAAATCAAACACTCAAATCAAAGCTGATCCAAGCAGGCCACAGTGAGCTTTGTCTAATATATATGGGAGGATGGCAAAGTGTGGAGTCTTATGGCATTACCTTTGTTCTCAACAGCTTGTTACGGCAAAAACTTTGGTCCCAAAGGATTTGGCTATGGACTGGGAGCCGGGGCGCTGGCGCACACTCAGTAGGAACCGCGTATCTTCAGCAGCACAGCTCCAGATTACTGCACTGCCTGGCTCTTCCTGCAGGGGGCAGACGACCTATATCCACAGACGCGCTTGATAGAAAGCTGCTTTTATAAACTGTACAGTCGAAAGGATGACACCTTCATAATCCCATAGAAACAGGTGAATACTATTGCAGTGCTGCCACATATGCACATTTAGTGAACATGAATATCTATGTAAAACTGCATGGGTGATTTGCACTCAAAAATATCGTCCTCTCATTAAGAATTATTTTTTCTCTCAACACTTGCAACCCCTGGTGTTGTCATAAAAAATGATCGCCTGCCAAAAACGATTTCCGGTATTTGGCCCGAAATTATTGTTCGTACTTAAATGGTTGTAAATCACTTGTTGGTCTGTGAAACGTGTGTCAAACATCTCTCTTGGTTGATATCGAGCCACTTGAAGTCAGAAGATATATTTCTGTCATGAGGTAGAAGCTGCAATCAGAGACTTTTATACATCCTTTAATAACGAATGTAAAACTGTCACTGCAGCAGAGGTTGCACCAAATAACACAACAGTTATACAAAGATGTTTTAGGTGGATTGATTATATTATAGAATATAGAGTGTGTACAATAATGTCAAAAAGAAACCTGCTAAACAGATGAATTTTTTATTTTATATATAACACCTTCGTAAATGGTGCTGACTGCAGACTATTTATCAATATAAACAGAGATATTAAAAAGAACAGCACACAAACACACACAAAAAGACATACAATCAACGGAAATCACTTTTTGTCAGACGATCACCTTTTAACATCACAAGATAACCTATACAGCCATCTAAAATTTCACAATTGCGGTATGCTTTCTGAATAGCATGATGATAAATAAACTACAGAGAGAATGTATTTGGTGTCATTGTTTTTATTGGCACAAAGTGAAGTGAAACTGCCTCCTCGGCCTCCTTGTCTCGGTTTGTGTCTGAGGCGAGTATCATAGGTGGTGGTTTCTGTTTTAAGAAACGACACGTGCAGGATACATCGTATCCATTCCTCTCACACCACGCGACACACTGGGACCAGGTAAGTCCAGTATCTTGTAAAATTAGGGGAATCACAGATACACTCCACCCACAAAGCTTATCTATCACGTAAGAATGTCAGAAAGAATTTACCAACAAATTCCACCACATTAGTTCGACAGAGAAGTGAAAGCGGAGCTCTAAAGTTATGAAAATATAATCTGTTAATCAAATGAAATATACATTTTTATTTCACTAGTTGTAAATATTTCATCCTTAATGTGAAATCTGTAGATGAGGCAAATTGGACATCTTTGCGTGTAGCCCTACCTTGTAACGACATTGTTTCCAGAAGGTGATGATCACTAACCGGCTGATTAGTCATTCAGCAGTTTGAACTCTTTATCCAACTTTATCCGCCATGCCACCCACTCACATTCCAGCTCTCAGAGAGGCGAGATTACATAGTTTCTAATAAGGAGTTTCAAGGCTTATAAATGAGCGCTTATTGCACTTTAAGCATATTAGCATTTTAGTTTACTCATTTATACAGAAAGGTGTGTTAGCAGGTTTTTCTACAGGTGCACTGCGACCTCAAAGGGAGATGGTCAGGCCTGAACCCATCTACTCTGTGTTTACCTTTGTTGTGGAATTCAGTTTTTAAAAAACGTTGCACTTTCCTCCACAGCTCTCACGTTGATAACGAGTTACTTTGAAGATGAATAGCATAAACAGAAGAAAAAATGGTAACCAATAATCAAGTTAGGCCCATAATTACCACATTAAACATGAACATATGGTGTACTCGTAATTATAATCCATTATTCTGATATTGGCCATTCTGCACTACTTTTGCTTATTTAATACTTTTTTCTTTTTACTTGAGTGAGGTAACTCGTAAAGACTAAGAAGTATATTTACCCTGGTGTTGCTATGTTAAAGTTCTGAGCACTCTCTCCACCACTGAAACACATAAAAAGGCTGCTATGCAGAGTGCTGTAAAACACAACTGTCAGCGTGCACTAACTGACTCTCTGTGCCTGTCTTTCTTTCGCGCGCACTGCACGCTGACGCACCCACTCAAGATGGGAATTTCATAAACAGCCCGGATCTTCTCCTGCCGTCACTGAGAAGGAGGCGGGTGCTAGTTGAAAGGGGGAGAAGGTCCAGACAGGAGCCGGGCATGTTCAAACATATCCAGGCAGAGCAGCCTACCAACCCGCACGGTGTCCTGTCATTGCTTATTCACAAACCTTGTTGTAATAGACAAATGTGTTTAACATCATATTTACTGTAGCGAATCTGTTTCCCCGAGGGACGTTGATACGGCAAGACACGCGATGCGTATTTAATAGATTCAGTATCTATCAGAGGATTAAGTTGTCTAGTGTCTGGTACTGAAGTGGTTCCTTCAGCGTGGAAATGTCCTTCGCGGCCAAGGCGATGAGAGACGGACTGCTAGAGAAGCGCAGCAGCGGACTTCTCCAGCTGTGGAAGAAGAAGCGCTGCGTCCTCACTGAGGACGGGCTGCGCCTGCACAACTGCAAAGGAGGCGGCGGTGATGCTCCGGGTTTGGCGTCGAGCTCCAAAGTCAAGGAGCTTCACTTTGAGCGCATGGTCACGGTGGACTGCGTGGAGTATAAGCGAGGGCTGGTGTACTTCACTGTGGTCATGGTTACGGGCAAGGAAATTGACTTTCGGTGTCCGCAGGACGGCACAGCGTGGAACGCAGAGATTGCTCTGGCTTTGGTGCGCTATAAGAACCTACAAGCCGTGCAGACCGGGAGGAACCGGCACCTGTCTACGGGACACCTGGGCAGCACTGGGGAGGACGAGGAGCTCTGATTGTCGAAGGTATCCTAAGTTGTTGTCTGGTTGGACTGAAATAGCTAGAAGTCAAAGTGTGACTTATTGGCGTGGGAAAGCTTTTATTTCATTTATGTAGAAATCATTTTAACTGGGCTCTGGAGAGAGTGGCACCACACCCTCTCATTGCTCAAATATCCTCAAGTTCACTCCCAGTAACTGAGACTGGCAGTGAATCCCAAGCAAATACCTCAGCTAAACAAACATCATCATCATCATCATCATTATTATTATTATTATTTTTATTATTACTATTGGTTTTTCAAGCAATTGGCAGCTAAACGCACAGCCGTGTGCCGGCAGTAAAACACCTGACTTAACATGTTATTTCCTTTTTGTGCTAATCACCAAACAAGTTGTTGCAATAGCTGGATGGAAAGGAATGAAAAGACCGAGACTCTTGGGAATGAGGTGACACAGAGCTGAGAAGCACTCACGTTAAGCTCGTGCTGAAGGTTATTTACAAGAACCACTTCAGTGTTTAGATGTTCCACCGAGTTAGAGTCCTCTCCGAGTTTTTCTTACTATGCTCATCTGCCTGTACTACACCTCAGTAGACACAAACCAGCTTCACTTGAGGACATAATTAAGATGCAACGTGAGCCTTCAAAATAACATCTGCCTGCCCCTCCCTCACCAAGCAGTCGAGTATTTTTAAACACGCGCACAAACACACACACTGACTTTCCTTATGGGTTTAGTTGACATGAAGCAGTGGGACACTAAGGGTGTTAAATCTGTCGTTGTGACTTTTGAGATCAAGGGTACAGTCGTCACCATCTAATGGAAACAGAGTTATTTAATGAAACCGGTCATCTCAAATGAACTCGTGACCCAAATGTGTGAGTCTGAACTATGAGCTCACAGTTTAGGAATCTGCAGCGATGGTTCTTTAAGAGAGCAGCTCTAGTCAAGTGCCTAAATTAACTTAGGAGCCGTGGTAACAGTGCAATTTAACTCATTACAAATGCACTTTTGAGCGACCCTGCTGCTGAACATAGACGTTAATAACCATATCTGTGCGTGTGCGTGTTTTAAATTATTTATTTCGTTTTTCAATGGTAAAAAATAAAATAAATAAAAATCTTTTTCTCTTCCTTCAGCCTTCCTACTTCCTTGGAGGGAATCAATAAGAAGGGGAAAGTAGTACAACTCACCAGATCCAGAGGATGCACAAAAAGGTCATCAGTGACCATGGAACAAACGACTGAGAACAAGTGTCACAGAAACTCATCTTGTCTTCCCTCATTCACTTGCAAAGTATAGGAATCTGATAAACTGTGGATAAAGACTTTGTTTCTGTCCTGATCTCATTGCTTAAGGACAATTTGGAGACTCCTGCATAAAAAAGCTGTTTTCTGGGAACAGTTTACCCTTTGTGCCTTGATGTTTCAGTAGCATCTTCATTTTTGAACATCATTTTGCGACAGTTTTTGACGCTGCTGAAACAGGAGTCGATTTGTTCTGCAGGCTTGTTTTTGAAGGATTGGTATGACTTACTTTGAAAACTTTAACTTACAGAATGAGCAGATCTTTGAGGTTTTCTAAAGATGGAATTGAAGTATTTTGTTTCTGATATATTGCACTCTGTATACTACATATTTGCTTAAACCATGTACAGTATTAGAACTGTAAAATAATAATAATAAATTTTTGTAATCCAGATTTTTCTGACATATTTTAGTTGGTCTTCTATTTTTAAATGGTGTTTCACTTCATTTCACTGTTCACTGGGAAGTCTAAAGTCTTTTAGCACTGAACTGTCAGCCACAGTTTATTTTAGATTCAGACCATTAATTGCTAAGCTCATCTGTTTCCGGTTGTGCGTTAACCTTGCTGTTATAGCCTCTGGAAAACACACACACACACACACACACACACACACACACAGACACACACACACACACACACACACACACACACACACAGTGGCATGGTTTTCCTGCTATTGCGTGTGTGCTGAAGTCAGGGCACCTTTTGTTCTGAGCGGTTTGGAGGACTAATGAGAAGCACAGTGAGCCTGAGGCATGTGCACACAAACATCCACCCACACAGATTCACCTACAGGAACGTGTGTGCACACCCAGCATGAAGTTCATCCAGACCTAAGCATCAGCAGATTCTTGTCAAGGAGACATAGAATTTATTGTTCATTTAATCATCTTGTGCATGTTTTTGTGTGTATATCAAGAATATAGCAGTCTGTGTGTGATATGTTTAGCTGTGTGGCTCGGTGCACTTTTAGAATAAAGGGCTAGTTGTATAGCAACTTCTCGTGTTCCTGTGGAAAACCCCCATTGCCACACCGCATGAGTCAGCAAAGGACAAGGAGTGCTGCAAGAAGTAGAGATGGATCATTGTATTAAGCAGTATGTTTGTGTGTGTGGATTTGTGTGGAGAGCAGGTTTCACAGAGAATATATGTGAAGTAGAGCCGTGGAGAGGTTACACCTTTAAAGGTACAGTGTGTAAAATCTCACCACTAGAGGTCAGCAGATTGCAGTCAACAGAATTTAGTGGCTGTTCATCTGTAGTGAGTGTAATCCAGGGGTGTCAAACAATGAGGTCCGGGGGCCAGAATCGGCCCAGCAAGAACTCTGATCTAATCTAATCTCCCCACAGTCATTAATACTACACCAAAGTAACTAGGTGTATGTGTCCCCTGATGTAAAATGAGTTAGAATGCCCTGTTTAGGCTTTTAGTCTGCTGTTTACCTCAACTGCCAATATACCTGTGTCCACCTCTGTTTACTCTGGAGGAGGCTGTGAAATTTAAAGTGTAAAGCTGATGAGTCAGTGAAGCTAACTTCTGTCTGATGAAGGCACTGAGGTGAGTTTTTGTCGGTAAGCACTGCTGCATTGCAGGTGTTAGCTGCTTGTAGCTGCTTATATGATGTGAGAATGTAACTAAACTGTTTATCAGAGGGAAACTTTGTTTTTTAGGAGACTTGAGACTAACATTAGCTTGCATAAAGGTAGTTTTTAACCAGCTGTTATTGTTTATTTAGCTAGCTAGTTGTCAGCTGGTTGGTGATGGTAAGATTACATTTATAACCCTCTGACAATAAGTAATTGGGCCAATATCTAGAATAAATAAGTATTTAAAAAAGTGTTGTTTTGGGGGGGTCGACTAGAATGTGATGGAACAGTTATGAAAGTGACAAGATACCAGCTAATAGCAAACATGTATCTACAGTATTATATGAAAACATACATTAACTTGCATCTTTTTCTCCCTCACAACACCAAAGTGTCATCCACTTCTTTTAAGCGTGTCTCAGTGCAATTATTCATTTCTATATGGGAGCTTGAGGGTCCTGCACAGTATCTTAGCTGTTCCCAGGACTGCGCTCTTCTGGACAGAGATCTCCGATGTCGTTCCCGGGATCTGCTGGAGCCACTCGCCTAGTTTGGGAGTCACCGCACCGAGTGCTCCGATTACCACGGGGACCACCGTCACCTTCACCCTCCACATCCTCTCGAGCTCTTCTCTGTTTAAACATCATCTTTCCAGGGAATCTGACAAACATGGAAAATAGAGCTACAATTAATTAAGAACCAGAGTGGTGTCAGATGTGGACTCACAATGTTCTCCTGATGTTGACACCAATGGGACCGTCTGTTGATTAGTTTATGTTGGAGTGCATTCTTCACTGACCAGAGCTCACTTCAAAAATCGTTGGCAAGCCTCCAGCTTCTCAGCTTCTAGAGATGGAGCTGCTGTGTAAATATTAAACCACTAGAGGTCTGTCTCGCCACTTTTAAGTGAGGAAAATGTCCGTGTGTGTGTACACCAGTCTGTGTGCATGAATCTGTGTCGGGCTTATCCAAGTTCTCAGATAATCTGTGTGTTTAAAAAGTTTTTTTCTGTTTTTTCCCTCTTTGGTTTACATTCTCCATTATCTGTTGTCACACACTGTGCAGGACTGCAAACAGAATGCCTTTGTGTGTGTGTGTGTGTGTGTGTGTGTGTGTGTGTGTGTGGTTGACTTTTATCAGTTTCTGGAAATTGCTGTTGGAAAGTTTTGGCCCTCTCTTTCTTTAAATGTTGTTTCAGTTCAGTTTCCAGGCATTTATTTGTACACAGCTCTCTTAAGGTCCTGCCTCAGCATTTTAATCAGACTTAAGTCTAGACTTTAACCGGGCCATCGCAACACCTGAGCAGAAGCCGTCTCCTTTCAGACAAGCCATATTTGCTTAGCCTTTTTCTAATTGTACTGTCGTGAACTTTAACCTTTAACATTCTCACTGAGGCTTGTAGAGTCTGAGTCACAGCGCTTAAGTTTTTTGCAATTTCACTGAGCATTGCTGATTCCGACTCTTGAGTTAAGGTTTATTTATCTCTCAGTTTACACATTTTACACATAAAATCATCTCATCAGACAGCACCTCAAATTATTAGACAATATGAATATCTTTGTATATATCTGTAGGAAACTCAAGCAACCTATTTATAAGTAATAGCAGACATGTGTTTAGAATTTCTGTGGTGGGTGCAGCCACCCTTTTGTCTTCATTTGGATTACAGACGGTGTGGCGAGGTTTCACTTTGTCCATCAAAGACGCCCTCACATGCATGTCTGGCATTTTAATCTCTCCTTCGAGGTTCAGGTGTTAGTAAACAAAACCATGCCCCAGGTTCATGTAGCTGTACTCACTATGACAATATCACGAGTTAAATATGTTAAGCGTGCTAAGATGTTAATATGAGAATGTTAACATAATGTTTATCATTGCTGCCTAAGCCCTATTATTATCACCAGAATGATTGCGTAGAGAAGTCTGGGACTAATCCCTCCTCAACATGCATGCCTCGATCCAGAAGGAAAGGGACAGACTGCAATGTCCTTTATTAAATCTCCTTTTAATATGCAGTGTGAGAACTCATTTTTTGGTGTATTTGATGGTTTAACTTCCTGGTCTACAGTTTTGCACTTATCAGTTATAGATGATCCTGGAAACCAGATAAATAGAGCCAATATCTCCCCAAATAAAGCGCCTTGAGGCGACTGTTGTTGTGTTTTGGCACTATGTAAATAAAATTAAATTGAAAATTGAATTGAATATTTCTTTTGTCTTGGAAGAGGGTCTCTTCCCCCCTGCCATGTTCAGATTACCCCTTGTTTATCTGATATGGGGTAGATTCGATATGATGACAGACGTCTTGGCACACTGATGCCAGTTTATATTTTTCCATTTGTCAGTGTGACATCATGCTTTTTATTGCACTGATTGCTTGCAGGGTCGTCTACAGTATGCACTATACAGCTATCTGCAGTCTGTTAATAATGCCTCTTTGACACTCCTAAGAGGTGATTGACCAGTTTGCATTTGTGCATTGGTCTGCTAGTGCCATATTAGTGTCATAATCACAAAAACTCGATGGAAGTTTAACTCTTGATTTTCACAAGCAACGAATAAAGTGCAAAGTCAAGATACAGGGAAGTATTTAGTAATGGAGCGCGGTGCAGGGACTAAGCCGTGGAGCACCAGAAGACTGCAGGAGAAGATAAAACAGGTTCATGGCGTTTTCAGGTGAGTCTTGAGAGTCAATTTTTTATTGAGGATTTACTGGAATTGAGGGGAAGCATGCAGTGGTTTTAGAGGACATGAGTTTTCCAGGTGAACAATTTATTCAGGTTGTAGGTAACATAACTCCAACTGAGAGAGAAAGGTCAGATAACCAGAAAGCACACATAAAACGAGTCATAATTTGAGAGTCTTATTACCACCACAAGGGCAACAACAACCAGCCAGAGTGCAGGAACGTACACTGGCCTTTTATCCCTGAGAGGTGATCAGCGAACGGAAAGCAGGCGTGCAGGCAGCATTCAGGAGCCGAGGTAGACCCACCCACGGACAGAACAGCAAACCAGAGCACTGCCCAAACTCCACCTTAGATCAAGAGACTAACTAGTCATGAATAAAAGTATTAAGCTTGTTTACATTTCGACCCAATCGTGGTGCAAGAGGAAAAGTTCATATTCCCTAAAGGGAACTTAAATATCTGCCCCAAACTTTGTACCACGCCTGTTAAGTTGACTCAAACAGAAGAGACAAAGTCATCATGGATCAAAGACACGGCACGGGATCAATACAATCAAAAGGATTAATTCCCTGTTGACCATAAATCTCCTCATAAAATATAGTGACATTCCACCCAATATTGGTTGAGGTGATTCTCTGTGGATTAAAGTGCTGGAATGACAAACCATAGCTGCCCTTTGTACAGCTGCTACTGGCATGGCTTAAAAGTCACGAAGCCTTCAGCGTAACCACATAAAGGACCCCTGTCACTGTACGGCACAGCTAGTGTTACGGATTCAAATATTGGGGATGGACACAAGAGGAAAAACCACAATAACAACACTGGTCCGGCCGGGTTGAGTCAAACGATGATTTTAATGGTCACACGCGTGGGAGATGGACACCGTACGCAGACAGCATCAGATCTCAAAATGGTGGAGCATTGATCAACCTCTTATAGCCTCTCGTGGCCTCCACCTTATCATAAAAGCCTAAACATTCACATGCTTTCTCTCACACGGCGCCTAAGCTACGACCTTGGCTCCCTGTTTATCTGCTCCTGCTGAGATGGGGCAGAAAACTCCAGCATGTTCTGTTCTCTTCTAATCAGACAAATAAGGCGATGACTCTCTGCGAACAGTATTTCTTAT